GGGACTCGATCCAGGGACTCCAGGATCATGACCTGAGCCGAAGGCAGTCGCTTAACCAACTGAGCCACCCAGGTGCCCAACAAATAAAATCTTAAAAAAAAAAAGATGAGGAAAAAGATTTTTCTTTGAAAATGACAGCTGTTGTATACCACACACTAAATAAATCAGGAGAAGAGATGGGAAAAACAGATGCAAAAGAACCAGCCATATATGGTTCCTTTGAATGAGTCTAGGGAGCTGGATGAAAGCAAAAGATCATTTGCTAGGGTTCATCTGCACTCAATAAACTAAACCATAAGCTCCAGGAAGGCAGGATGTGGTTCTGCATTGTCCACTGTGGCTTCCATAGTGCCTTCTTCAATACCCAGCCCATAGCAGGTGCTCAACAGTAATTTGTTCGATGAATGAATAAAATTCAAACTCTTAAAAGTTTTGTTGAGCTTTTTGATTGGTGTTAAAAATAGCTGGCTTCATGAGCATGTCCTCTCATGGGCAAGAAGGGCCCTCTGGCTTAATGCTTTGCTGACACCGTTTTGAAATTCTCAAAAATATGAATCCCAGGCCCCACATTTTCATTTTTCACTGGGCTCCACAAATTATGAAGCCCATACTGGTTAAAAACAACAAAAGCACACATTTCTAAAAAATGTCACCAAATAGATATTTTAGATATCCAGGAATATCAAATTATCATAGAGATTTATCTTTAAAACTAAATGGTGTACTTCAGGCTTACCTGAAGTTTTGGATCGTGGTTTTTCTTTCTGAAAATATGGTTCATACTCTCTGTAGACAATTTTCTTAAAGGAAGGATTCGAACTAGAAATCAAATACAGAAATTAATTTGAAAGTCATATATGACATCTACATCTCACATCACAAAACAAATGGATTTCTCACGTCCTCAGATATGTAGTAGGAATAATAGTATTTTAATTGTATTTCAGAAGTGCAAGGTTTTATAAATATGAATAATACATGGGGTAAATAAAATAATTATTGATCTCTTCAAGAATATTCTGTTGTGGTAACTGTTCTTTCCCACATTTAGTCTGCCTTAACTAATCCTCTTACTCAGAATCCATTTTCTAAAAAAGAACCCAAGATCATTGTGTGAACCCAAACTTGATGCTTAGATTTTAAATGACTAAAAATATAACCAAGTTCTTTATGAATAAATACATGGGGTATTTTTTAACTGATGAATCATATACAGATTTAAATTACTGGGGAACATTATAGAGAACCATTGATTTGGTGGACCCTATTTCAGGTTGAGAAGTTGGAGATGACTAATGGAGTTAAAGCCCTGGGCATTCGTACTGAAAACGAACAAACCAAATGAAAAAGGCAAGTCTTGGAAAATCTAAGTCACTTGTCCAGAGGAGAAACAATGGATAAATGGAAGAACCAAGACTCAAAGAGGTGAAACCATTATATTCATGGTAAAGAATTCCCAGAAAGGGAGGCAGGGAGAGTGGGACCCTCAAACTCTAGAGGGGGAAAAAATATATGTTTTTATTTTCAATATCTATTACCACATACCTGTAAATGACTGAACAAGTTTCTTTAGGGAAGTTTCCAAAACATTTACTTCAGACTTCAGACAAGAATAATAGATATATTCCACCTCTAAAAGGCATTCTCCTGCTAATATTAGATGAAGTAAGAGGAAAGGTCTTTGCTTTGTGCTAAAATATATTTTGGCAAAGAATGCAGTGCTGTATGTTGATCTCCTTACAGTAAGTATCATTCAGCTGTAGGTGCAAGACACTTAGTATAAGTTCTTAGCTTAAACAGCTAGATATACAGGTTAGATTTTTCACAAGAAAGTACCAGAGGAAAATGACATGATTTGAGATTCAAAAATATTGACAGTTTGTCTAGGTTGTCATTGTATGATTTTGGCTCAATAATTGACACCAGAGGCATGACTCTTACCAGAATTCTGGAAACTCAACCACAGGATGAGGGGATCAGATCAGCAGACATGGTTCCCTTTAGACTCCCCCACCATGTGAGTCAGGCTTTTGCCCTATGTGGTTCTGCTTCCAGTATCCTGCTTGTTATTTTTCAGAGTTAACTACAGAAGAAAGGACAAACTCGCAAGCATAAGCACAGAGTATCTCAGCAAAGATAGCAAGCATGTTAATGTCTGCCCATGAGCAAGAGAAATTAAAGTTGGAAAGCCTATGATTTTCTTTGGGGTTTTGGCAGTTCCCTAAGGGTGTGGATGTGATCTAGATCATCAACTCAAAAAGACAATATTTAAAATGATTTTTTTAAAAAAGGATTTCTTGGGGCACCTGAATGGCTCAGTCGGTTAAGTGTCTGCCTTCAGCTCAGGTCATGATCCCAGGGTCCTGGGATCAAGTCTCGCATCAGCTCCCTGCTCAGCAGGGAGTCTGCTTCTCTCTCTCCTTCTGCTGCTCCCCCTGCTTGTGTGCTCTCTCCCTCTCTCTCTATCTCAAATA